CTATTGAGCGATACTGAGCCAGCAAGGAAGAGGGGAGGTTCTGTTGTGTGGGAGTATTTTGAGTTGATTTTCCTCAATCGGGTGGGTTTGCCAGCTTTCTATTCTTGTTGTTTGTCTTTGTTTTGATTGTGTTTCTTTTATTTTTAATAATATTATTTACAAACATACCTGTCCAGCTGTCCAGTGATTAATTGTATAAGTACCATAATGTGTTGTACATTGTTATATGTATATTAATGTGTTTTTCATTTATTGTATTTACCAACATCAAAAAGTCACAAGCAAAGAAAGACCACACACATGTTTAAATAAGGGAAGCTTATTGATCAAATTTATCTATTAAGCAAATAGACATAATTATTTCACCCAAAAAACATACATATTCAAAGCAACAAACGTGTAGGCCCAATATCAGACAGAACAGTGAACTCTGTAGAATGGGCAGTCATAATGAAGCACTACACTTTAATTTGTAGATTCAAGCTGTTCTTCATAATTTTGGCCAGCAGATGTCACCAGAGAGGAATGTGTTGAAAAGCTAGTATGAAGCGTTTTTAACACAAGCTTCAATGCTTCAGAAAGCTTCATTTGAGCATCTAATAGACTCCAGTTTGTTCATGTAAATCAGGGGTGGGAGACTCCAGGCCCAAAGGGCTGATGTCATGCAGGTTTTAGATATCACCTTGGGTCAACACACCTGAAACAAATGATCAGTTCTTTACCAGGCATCCAGAGAAATCAAAAACATGTTGAGGAGGTAATTTATCCATTTAAATCAGCTGTGCTGGATCAAGGACACATCTAAAACCTGCAGGACACCGGCCCTTGATGCCTGGAGTTCCCCTACCCCTGATTGAATGAGTCCATTGCCTATCCAAAACCTAGAAACCTTCCCAATAAAGCAACGGGGACAGAGACAACTATAAGTGTTGATATGTGAGTGCTAGGTGAACTTAAGTCTGCTACTGCAAATGAAAACATCATAGTTTACACATACTACAATTGACTAGACAAGCTAACCAATGCCAGTCTAGTGAAAGGTCCGAACAAGAACACACTCCTGTTTATAAAAAAGATATTATTATTATTTTTTAAGTAATCATTATTACTTAGCAGTGATTGTTCCAGAATAAAACAAATATGGATTTGAATGTATTTCTCTGCCTATGGTAGTGCAGTGCTCCATAGTTGTATATGAACATTTAGAATATTGCTTTGTTGTTCTAAAACTGTCATATGCGAGTTTGCATATTTACTGTGCCACCCTACAATACTGTGATTTCCTACACATACTGTCAGTGCACTGTGTGCATGTGTAGTCATGTCATTACGCTGACTCCATTAGTTACAGAAAACCTTGGAAGAACTTCTGCTTCCTAACAAAAGAATGATCAAAATACCTCTGAAATAAGTTTGAGTACACACCTGCTAGACCTCATATCACTGGAAAGAAATCTATAAACAATAATCAACAAAACTTTGTGAGGAAGCAATTTCACTCTCCTTCTGTCCAGCTGTAGCTTCAGGTCTACTCAGCACTCCCCACTTTTTTTGATTGCTTATTCACAATTACATCGGTCATTTCCTTTAAGGTAAAACTCAAGAAATTCCATTTGCATATGAATTGTGTCCTATAAACACACTTTCTTTGTCTTCCCTAGCAGTTATTGAATAGTTGCATCCACCTCTAAAGTAATTACATTTTAATCTGTTTTGCAGAGCAAGCAAACAGCATGTAAGTTGGTAGATTACAGAACTACCTGACATTCAGCCACAATGTAGACAAAGCAGGATAACTTCTAAAAGTCTACAAATTAGATCTTCAGTTAAAGTGACTGCAAGCTACAAAAATGATCCAGAAGATACGAGCCAGCTGCTAAACAAACAGATGAGATCAGGAAAGTTCACCATTGATGCTACATGAGAAACAACATTTCTACTTAAGAAAACTCTTCAACTCTTGATTGAATTTACTGAGATGGCTCATCTCAACAGGCAGCAAAGGACGTGTGATCTACTTGTTGTGCGTCAGAACAGATTTTGTGTCAAGTCATTTTTATTAAATGTTTTGATGTTATGTTAGCTGTTTGACATATATATGTTATTCCGCAGTTTTATTTTATTTTTTATAAAAAATGTAGACACTAATCATTAAATGTTACAATTAAACTAAATAACCTTGTTTTTTGTTTGTTTTTGTAAATATAGTAGAAGTTTGAAAGATTTCTGTGAAACAGTGACAGAGACAATCCCTGCACAATACTTATGATCAGCACGTTTTGGAGAAATCCCTGCACAAACAAGAGAGAAGGTATTGAGACCGTTGCAGACAGCAGGATGTGACTGTGGTGATCAAGGTGCTTCAGCAACATTCGTGTTGCTCACAATAAATCAATTTATAAAGTAAAACATACAGAGAAAAGTCTGCGTGTTTGATGACATAACCACACAGATTTCCAGCTGTTTTTAAGGCTCTTTACAATCCACAGCAAAAATAATAATGAGAGAGATGGTGTTGTTTTCTTTCGAGCATGTGTAATAAATAGAAGCGGTAGTATCAAATAAATAATTAAACAATTGCGGAGACCACCCCAAATGTCTCTGGCATGCGTCGAAGCAGCAGGTACCCATTACCTCGTTTAGTCGTAGTCACGTGACCTGGGTATTTAGCCCCGCACTTCGGAGGATGCAAGCTGCCGTTAAACTCGACTGAAGAAGAAGAAGAGCGTTTTAATACGTCTGTATCGACTTTTGTTTTGGTTAGTACGCCCAGCTTTGCGGACCAACTTCTTTGTGGTCTGATGCTGCTGCGCCACCTCCACCCTTGTTACGCATGACACGTAGCACCAATCAGTGTTGAGACCCCGGATTGTTTGCCGCGCTTGGCTCACAGGTGAATTGATTACAGTGTTTCTTAAATAAGGTGCGACTATTTGCGCTTCCTGTCAATGGACTGCACTTTTGATTTGGTGGGTCTCATATTACAGATAGTGTATTAGTAGAGCATGTACTGAAGAGGCTTAGGGCCACCAGGGAAAAAAAAAATATGTGACTGGTTCTGCAACCCAATTTGTCTCCTTGTTAAATGTTGAGTGTCCGTCCAGTTCACGTGGTCTGTTGCCGAGCCTGGTATTTTTATTTTCTGTACAAGTTTTCGTAATGTGCAGTTTATCGGTGGCATCTGCTAGTTCGTAACTCCCACAGTATATAAATTGTACAGTAATGATGAATCGGAAACGCTAAGATTTTAAACCTCCGCTTTTTCAGAGAAAACGAGAAGTGTTCTTCACGTGGGTTTCATCCAAATGGCGGAGAAGTGGCAGCCGCAGTGTGGCGTCGAGTTAGAGCCGAATCAGTTTTACTGCTCGGTATGTCTGGACCTGCTCAAAGATCCCGTCACCATCCAGTGTGGACACACTTACTGCAGAAGCTGTATCGAGGGATGCTGGGACCAGGAAAAGGAGAAGGGAACGTACAGCTGTCCTCAGTGTAGGGAGGCCTTCAGCCCAAGGCCTGTCCTCGGGAGGAACAACATGCTGGCTGAGGTGATGTATCCATGGTGCTGCTTGGAAAATAAATAAAATGAAACTAAATAAAATGACAATAAAATGTAGCAAGTTAACTAAAGTTCAAATACTCGGAGCTCAGAGAAATACTTAATGAGAAATATTTTTCTTTTTCTAAATTATTCTTTCTGATATTATCATTATCCAATTTCTAGTTTGTTTTCATTTATAAACAGATTTTCATTAATGGTGTGGTGGTTTGCTTGGTTTGATTCTAGTCTGAGACACATCCCTTTGGGTTGAGTCAGGAAGGGCAGCTGGTATAAGTGAGTACTGAACTCATTGTTATGTTTAAGAAACCAGTTTGAGATGATTTGAGCTTTGAGATGGTGTGTTAGCCTGCTGGAAGTAGCCATCAGTAGATGACATGCTGCTGTCATAAAAGGATGGACATGGTAGGCAACAATACTTTGGTAGACTGTGGTGTTTCGGTGATGCTGTGTTTGGACTGGGGGAGGGGCAAAGTGTGCCAGAGGATATCGCCTCTAAAGCATTCTAACACAAACCGGAACTGATGCAAAGCAGGATGGAGCCATGCTCTTATATTGTTCATGCCAAAGTTGCAGGAGAAATGTGTTCTTCAGAACCAGCGACAATCTTCTTCAGTAGTCTAATTTTGGTGAGCATGTGTGAATTCTGGCCTGAGTTGTGTGTTCCTTGCTGTGGAAGTGGCTGTTGCAGATCATCTGCTCAGTTTGAATTTCAGCAGGTGATCTTGACCATGTCTACATGCCTAAATGCAGTGAGTTGCTGCCATGTGTTTAGTTGATTAGATATTTGTGTTGAAACAAGTAGATGAACAGATGCACCTCATAAAGTGTCCAGTAATCATAATTTTATATTTTCTTTGGCATGTCATTAATTTTCTTGTGGGTGTTTGCATTGTCTGCTCTTGTTACCCCTAAAATATTTAAATGAATTATATTATCATCATAGCACATGCTTTCTAAATGATAGTGCTGTCTTAAAATAAATAACACATTTTCTATAGTTTCGATTCTGTTTGTCGTGCAAAACCTTTGACCGCTTTTATTTGATCACTGTAGGTTGTAGAGAAGCTGAAGAGGACTGTAACCCAACAGGCCCGTCCAGCTTCTCCTCTTGCTCCTGCAGGACCAACAGACATTGCCTGTGATTTCTGTTGTGGGACCAGAAGAAACAAAGCCAGCATGTCTTGCCTGACCTGCTTGGCATCGTACTGTCCTGCTCATCTTGAGCCTCACCACAGTTTTCCTGTGCTGAAGCTTCACCAGCTGGTGTCTGCT